TACCAAACATATCCCAAACCTCTCTTTCGCACCAATTTGCAGCTCTATATATTTTAATAATAGAATTTATAGGTTGTAATTCATTAATTGTAATTTTAATCTTTAAACGACTATTAAAACGTATACTTAATAAATTTCGCGTTAGCCCGTCGATCTGCTTCGTGAGCAGGATGCGGCCGTTGTGCTAGTCGAATTGGATGCACCAATCACTTCGAGGGCTGTTGGTGGAGCTTTGCTCACCTCAACACATACAGTTGAAGTTCGACTGACGCTTAATACTGCAGCAGGGCCTGTGAGGTGCCAAGAGGCAAAAAAGTGTTTGATTGTCGAGACCGACGAAGACGAATTTATCGTTGGTAAACTGTTGCTGGTCGAGCTTGGTATCGATGTGGACCGCCAATTAGAGTATCTGGCTCTTCGTGGAATGGAAGATGACGATCCGTGTGGCGATCCTGAGGGAATGCCACCATGTAAACCTGCTGATGGCGACGTTGTGATGAAAGTTGTGGATGCGTTAGTGCGTGACGCTATGGACCGTGGTGTGATTGACGAATACACAACTAGTTGACTGTATGGGGTTGTTCGTAAGTATGGCGGATGGCGTTTAGAGCTTGGGGATGACCCTCCTGCGCGTGTACCCGCACTGAAGATTAGGTTGAAACCAGGTGCGACACCATATCGGTGTAAAGTTCGACAGTATAGCCCGGAGAAATCTGAGTTTATGGCCGAGCTCAACAAGATGCTGGTGTCACTTGGTTGGGTATACGAAAATCGTGAGAGCCGTTGGTGTTGCCCTGCTTTACCTGTGACGAAGCCAAACACCAGCGAATTTAGACAAACTGTGGATTATCGACCTACAAATTCTGTGACCGAACCGATTGCCGGCGTAATGCCAAGTCTTGAGGTGGCCCTCGAGCACTGCAAAGGAAAAATGTTTTACGCGGTGTTCGACTTCTTAAAAGGATTCTGGCAGCTACCCTTGGACAAGAGTTGTCAAGAAATCCTCTCTTACATGACAGACCGAGGTGTTTTTACACCTACACGAGTACCTCAGGGGAGTACAGACGCAGCACTGCACTTTCTCAACAGTGGAAATGGTATTGGGCGATCTGGTGAACAAGAGCGTTATAGTATGGATTGATGATTTGTTGGTTTTCGCTGACACTGCAGAAGAGTTAGTGGATGCGATCGATGCTGTACTGGTGAAGCTAGACAAGCATGGACTTTTGCTCAGCCCCAAAAAGAGTGCCCTCTTTCTTACTGAAGTGCGATGGTGCGGTCGTATTATCAACCGACTCGGGATCGGGCACGACCCAGAGTAAATCCAAGCTCTGCGCGACATGCACGTGCCCAAGACCGCTGCAGAGTTGCAACAGTTCCTCTGTGCGAGCAGCTGGATGAGGTCAGGGCTCGTAGACTATGCTCAGGTAGCACGACCACTACAGGAGCGGCTTGATAACTCTCTTACCGGCTCCAAAAAGACGAAACGTATCGCCGCAGGCATTAAGCTGAATTTGACTGAAGCTGAGGTTAAATGTTTCAACGCTGTGAAGGAACTGCTCGGCAATTCGGCAATGCTCACATTTCCAGACCCGGCCAAACAACTGTGTGTTTTGAGCGATGCTTCTGACTATGGATGGGGACTTGTGGTCACACAAGTGGGTCAGTGGCAAGATGATGTACCCATCCACGAACAGCACCACGAACTGCTCGTGTGTATGGGTGGGAACTTCAAAGGCTCTGCACTCAATTGGAGCGTCATTGAGAAAGAGTCTTACCCAATTGTACACGCGTGCGAAAGACTGGAGTACCTACTCCTACGACCCCAAGGTTTCAAGCTTTACTGTGACCATCGAAATATCGTGTATCTCTTCGCTCCGAACAAAGAACTGAAGAAGCACGTCCGGGGTAAATTGCTGCGCTAGTCCACGAAGTTATTGGAGTATAAATACTCAATCGAACACATTGAGGGAATCCATAACGTGTGGACAGACCTGATCTCGAGGTGGGGTGGCAAACCTCTACCTACTGCGCGCATGCAGTCAGCCAAGAGATTCACACGTGCCAACCGGAAGCGTGGCAGCAGTGCAGTGACAGGCACAACACCACCACCGCTGCGTCCACTAGATCAGGACGGATTTGTGTGGCCCACTATCGAGGAAATCGGAAGCGTGCAAGCATTGCACGATGCGCCAAAGGGTGCAACGCTGAGTGATGATGAACTGTGGCTCGTGAATAACATGATGTGGATACCGAGTGGAGCTCACGACCTTACTCAGAGACTTCTGATAGTCGCTCATTGTGGTAGAAATGGACACCGCGGCATACATGTGATGGAGAACCACATTCGCCGGCTGTTCTACATTGGTGGCCTCACTAGGATTGTAAAGGATTTCTGCTCAAAATGCCTACTCTGCCTACATGTGAAGGGAGGGGTGGTGATCCCCCGACCTTTTAGTGAGACCCACTATACTTATGAGCGGAACGAGACGCTACATTGGGACTTTTTGACTCTGGGCGACTCTTTTGGTACCTCTCGCTACACGCTCGTCCTGAAGGACGAGGCAACCCACTTCACAGAGTTGGTGGCTTGTGACAGCCCAACATCTGAAGTTGCAGCGAGTGCCATCCTGGACTGATACAGCCGCTTTGGAGCGCCGAGGGTGTGGGTTAGTGACTCGGGATCACATTCTAAGAACAAGGTGGTGGCAGATCTAGGCCGGAGACTGAAAAGTCGCCAAGGGTTTGTGCTAGCATACTCACCTTGGAAAAACGGCTCAGTGGAGCGCGTAAACCGGGACATCTTGCAAGTACTAAAGGCACTGGCACTTGAGTACAAGATCAGCTTGCACGACTGGCCCTACCTACACCCGCTGGTACAGTCCAGCATAAACCACTCACCGGTACCGTCACTAGCTAACCGGGCTCCGATTGAGTTATTTACGGGATTGCCATGTCCCAGTGCATTGGACACGGTATTTTTCCCGGGAGGGAAGGGGCGTGTAGCTACGCTGGACCAACCAGCGCCAAGTACAGTGGAGCGACTTACCAAACTACGAGAAACATCTGCAACATGCACAAGTCTGCCAAGGAGGAGCGACAACGCCAGGCCAAACGGTACCGGCTACGACCACACTATGAGCAACCTGGAAACTTCTCGGTCGGTGATTACGTCCTACGTTCTCGAGTCGATGAGAAGTTGCATGCGAACAAGCTACGAGTGATGTGGGTCGGTCCGTATCGCGTGGTTGGCAGTGCTGACTACTATTTTACTGTGAAGCATTTGGTCAGTGGAAAAACAATGAATGT